GATTCTGTCTTCTAACGATTCTAATGGATTCATAAGTTTCAAAATCAATGTTCTAAAGCAGCGGCTCTTAATACTGTTCCTCGCGTCGCCTGCTCGGCCTCTCTCTCTCTCATTCAGATCATCAGCTCAGTTCTGTTCCATTTATACACTTATTTTCACATAGTTATGAGAAGCGTTAAACATGGACACGCGTGCAGTTGCTGTACTGTATTAAAGCTTTAATCAGGATAAAACCGTATATTAAAAGCTAACAGAAGCAGTAGCATTTGCAAATAACAGCGTATCTAAAAGTATGAGACAACAACAAACAAAAAACACATTAAGAGCTGTGTGCTTGCACAGGTTCTGCACGATCCTCTTCAATAATATCCTCTGCTTCTCAATCGAGCTCAAACTGATAAGCGATATTAACGACGCCTTTGTTTACAATACAACCGGAGCACATGCCGCTGAGGAGAGGGGCGGGACGCTTAGACGCGCACTAGAGGCGGTTTAGCCAATCACAACACACTGGGCTAGCTAACCAATCAGAGCCCATCGCCTATTTCTGAGGGAGGGGCTTCATAAAAACAGGAAAAGATCAGCGCGTTTCTCAGAGAAGGGACAGAGCGGTGTGGAATAAAGGTCAATTATGTGAAAAATAATGTGTTTTTTTAAAAACTAAGCAATAACACATTGTTAGACTGCACCCCATAAACACATTCAAGCCTAGGAAAAAAACAGTCAACCACCCCTTTAAGGGAACATGCAAACATTATGAGAATGTTATTTTTAAATGTTCTCTGGATGTTTTGTAACAAACAGTAACGTTTAAAAAAAACATTAGATGAGTATCTAAGTATAAATAATTGTGCTAACATTTTGGGAACATTATTAAAGACCAGATAACTCTGAACAAACATTCAAACATTCTACATTCAAACCCTAACGCTCCATGTTATCTGGGATGCTCTTTATAACATAATGAAAATGAACAATAGTAAGCGTCTAAACCACATTAAAGTATCATATATGACTCGTTTGAAAATTAGTCTGATTTCTAGATCCGCTGGATTCATCTGCTTTTATCGTACAAGAAAGAGCTGCTAAACATCTGTTCATGAAGTCAAAACCTTGATTTTTGGGTGAACTACTCCTTTAATGTGAGATCAGTAATACCCAAAATTCATCTGAGCTCAGACTGAAGCTGAGAGCAATCAGTGTGATCAACAGTGTGTGTGCGTGTGTGTGTGTGTGTGGTTTCCTGTGTTCTAGACACATTCCTCTTGAGACTATACAAATCATTAATGAGCAAGACTTCAGATGTGTGTGTGTTTAGGTTTGTCTGCGCTTGTGAGGCCCAAATATGTGAAAAGGTTCTCCCTAATGTTCTGATTCTGATCTTTGTGTTTTGGTTTAGGGCTGGTTAGTGACTCTGTGTGTGTGTGTGTGTGTGTGTGTGTGTGTGTGTGTGTGTGTGTGTGTGTGCGCGCGTGTGTGCGCGTGTGTGTGTGTGCACCTATCACGGCATTCCTACACAAGCTCTATTCACTATTATTCAGCAGCTTTTTCGCATGCTCAGGAGCAAATTACCCTCCTCCATCCCCAGCTCCTCCTTTTGCCACAGTCAGGACCTGGCTTTCTGATATTCCTTGTTGAATTTTCCTTTTATCTTGAATAATGTGTTACACTTAAATATCATTAAGTACATTAATGATATCTGCTTTGTTCTATTCTGTTTACCCTTGGGGTTATTTTTGCTGCTCTCCCTGCTCTTCATGACAGTTTTGCCCAGAACAGAAACATACCGCCAAACTAAACTGTATGCTAAGTGTCAATCATTTTGACGATAGTGGTCCTGACAGAACTAGTTTAACTCTTTCTCCGCCATTGACGAGTTATCTCGTCTTATACAAGAAAACACTTTCCAGCGAGGTTTTACAGCTTTTCGTGTTTTCACTGTTATACACTCGGGGGTGCTATTACGCATCTTCTGAACGAGTACAAAACCTCCCGAACAAAAACACACGTGAACAGGACAGCGAAACGAGCGATCTCTTATGTAAACAGATGCATATGAAAAATAATGCGATCATCAGCAATAGACAGCATATAAATGAAAACTGCATAAAGTTACAGAGTAAAATGTTGATCCAGGAAGTGGTACATGTCTGTGCAAGTTTTGGAGGTGTTGATGGAAGCGATTTACTGGATTTATGCTTTGATAATCGTACTGAATATTATCCAGATGTAGTTTTTGATAAAAATTAGATTTTCTCACCTTTTTGCTCAAAATTATGAATTTTTTATGAAACCTACCTATATTTAAGTGTTGATAAAAAAAAGAATGCTTTAAGCTAGATT